GGAAACATTCTTGCTGGCCAAGTTTGGGGAGATTTGGTAGAAGGCGTGTGGAATATATTTGCCAGCGTTTTTGGTGGCCAGCAAAAGTTAACAACAGTGTCTAGGCAGCCTGACATGTAGCAAGTTCCTGGCTATAATAATAAAAATTGCACGTTACGCTTGGCTTGGGTGCTTTTCAGGAGCGGGGTGGTAGGTAAGGGGCTTTTTGGGCGGAAAATGGAACACAGCTGGACAGGGCATATCAAAAAATATTGTATGCCGGCTAATGTTTATGTATGAACTAGGGCTCTTCGCACTCCTTTGCCCTACTTTTTCCGGGGGGCAGCAAGAAGGAGGTTGGAAGCGAAGCTGCTGGAAAAGCCCCCACTATAGCATGAGATCCGGTTTCGGTTGCACAACTTTCGGTTGTTATTTTAAGTTAATGAAAATGTAAGACGCAAAAGTGTGGGAAACAGGGAATGGGGAATGGGGAAACGGAGTGAGTGGAATCCGAGTGGTCATTGTGGTAATGCAATGTTATGCGTACACATTGGAACGAAACATGAATAGGGGGGGCGGGTGTGTCCAGGAGGGGTGGGGAGACGGTCAGCACTTAAGGAAACAGTTGGCATAATGAAAGTTTCAGCAATTGTCGGGGGAAGTAAGTTAACTCTAAACCAGAAGCAAATTCCCAAAAATATAAAAGTCTGGGCCAGCATTGCCAGCTTAGACTGAGAAGCATATACCAGCAGCATTGCCAACGATAAGCTTTGATAACTGCCATGAATTACGATTTCAAATCGACTCATCTAACCCAACTGAACTGAAATTGATTTAATCTTTAAAAAAACGAAAATCGATCCATCCGGAGCAGTAAAATGTATCCAATAAATTGCCGCCAAGCTTGCCGTCTGAAATTTTAAAATAAATAAATCTGAAAGTTATCTAAGCGTGTCCAAATTCGATTTACAGCTACGAAAAAAAAACAGCAAAAACTGGAAAGCAGTGAAAAACAAAGGATAGAAATAACAAAATAGAGCGAGAGTGAGAACTTTGAGTTGGAAACAAAAGCAAAGGGGCGAAAAAAAAACGCACACACAGGGAGGAGGTAAACACGGGCGCCATGGATGAAAAACGTTGGCAGTGCCAAATGGAATGAAAACACTTTTGACTGCCAAATTCCGTCGAAGCAAATATATAGATAAAGGTGTATTTATTTAAAAAAATAAATGTATATGGTTTATGTGGGCCAATTAGAAAAACAATTGCTGAGGGGGGAAAACTAGAATAAATTGATTGATTTTCTTAATCCTTTTTCTAACTAAAATAATAAATTTCAATTGAAATAGGAAGGATTCTTGCCTAAGGTTATAAAATAATTTCAATTTATTCACCATTCCACTCCCCTAAACTCCATCATCAGCTTAAAAATGATACAGTCTAGCCTAGCCAGGATGAAAATAAAAGCATTTTAGATCCCAGAATCCTAATTAGCTTGTGAAATAATAAAAAATTAACGAAAAATCTTCCGATGTCGTCGACAGCATGGCTTACCCACGACTAACGGGGTTTCCTTTTGCTGGCTACCATGTTACTCACCTCGCTGTGTGTGGTGGATAACGGGTCGTGGTGGTGGGTGGTGGGCGGTGCTTTGGTACTTTGGCTGGTGATTGTTTGTCTATTTATATGCTCATTATGTTTTCGCGCTTGTTTTACCAGCGAGCGAAGCGAAGCGGATCGCATTTGCCAGTGGGTCCTTTGAATAATGCCCGGCCATACATTGTGGTCAGCGGGTGGCTTTTGGGTTGGTTTTTCTTTTGTTTTTTTTTTCTTCTTGTTTTGGGATGGTGCGGTTGTTGGCGGTTGGTGGTCGGTGGTGGTAGTGGCGGTAGTGGTTCAGGGACAAAGGATAGGCGGACACAAAGTTTGCTCGCGATGCAAAAACAAGGACAGCAATTTGCTGGCTTCTTCTTTTTTTTTTCATTTTTTTTTGTCGGTCCTGACTGACTCCACTGAATGAAGAAGTGTCCGGGCATTGTCCTTACAATGAAACTGCTTGTCAATCACTTGTGTCCTTTGGTCCTCGCCCTTTTCGCTTGCAACGTTTCGGCCCACTCATCAATTAGTCAGTCTCTAATTAGACACCGAAAAAGAGAACAAAATCGAAGGGATTCACTGTGTGTGTGGCAAAAGGTGGCGAATTTCTTTACTTCAAAGGGCTTTAAGTCTACTTAAAGGGAAAGATTTAGAAATAAAATATTGTATTCATTATTCAAAATATATATTATTATTGCGTATACATAATTTACAATATTTTATTTTTATATACTACGTATACGCAACGTATGTGTGATTTTGTATATTACTCATACGCACTGTGTACTCAGGAGACTATCTCCGAGAAATAAATATCATATAACATTCTTGAAACTACAACCTTCGATGTCTACTGACCACACATCCCAGTTCGTTTTGGCTCAGAGGAGGTGGACAGATCGGATTTCGGGAGTCTCCCAGAGGGCCTGACCTGCCAACGAAATGAAACGTTTGCGGTTTTACTTCATAAACAATTTGCGTATATTTCATAAATATTTTTAAACAAATTTTCCCTCTTTTTTTTGCTGTTGTTGTTGCTGCTGTTGGTTGGCAGCTTTGTTTGCATGGCGGTTACCATGTTTTATTTGCGGGTATTACACTTTTCGCTTTTGGCAATGGGGGACAGGATCGGGGGCAGCGAGACGAAGGCAACAACGAAAGGATCAACTTTTTTCCCCAATGCAATGAATATGGCGGAAAGTCAACTGCAAATGTGTGTGTGTGTTTGTGTGTGTGAAAGGAGGGAGAGGCAGGGGCGGAGAACGAAATTCGAATAAATGACATCGAGCGGGGCGTGAAAGCAACATTTTTTATGCCCTATTGGTGATAGGAAAGATTAACTAATGTTTATGAGAAATATCACAAAAAGGTTCCCAAACTTAATGAAACTACAAACATAATACAAAACCCTTTCATATTGTAATAAAGATTAAAAGTATACAGATGGAAAATATCATATAATTAGAGGGTATCCCTTATTCGATTCACTCAGTAATTAATGTAGAACATCCTGTTCGGCCGCCTGTACAGTTGTCCCTCTGCCCGGCAGCCATGTGCGTTTGTTTACCCGCACTCGCAGGACTCATATAGGACACACGCGGCGCAAAACTGGAGGGGCCAAAGTTGCACTGCCCATCACCCAAATCCACCCACTTTTCCTCCCAAGGGTCATGTTTATCTTGCGCTTACAGTGGAAATTCCCTTAAACTTCATTCGTGTCGCCGTTGTTGCCATTGTTTTTGGTTCTGTTGCAGTTTTTCCGCACAGTTTGGTCCCCAAAGTATTTTATTGCTCATGCACGCGTACACGGTTTTCATGCAATTTGTTCTGAATTTTCCCAGAGAATCCAACCACCTAACTTACCACCCCCTTTAGAAAATGTTGCACTTCATTTGACACAAGGACATCGCTGTGGGCAGATGACTCCCGTTTTAATATCACGCGGCATAGCTTTTTTATGGCCTCTTTTTAACGTAGATTGAAACATTTTTGCCCGTTGGGTTGGGTTTCGTTTTTAACGGATTTTCATATATCTGGATTTAAATTCTGGAAAAGCTTTAAGCTCTTAGTTCTACAGGCTGTTAGGTGTTATGTTAAAAGGGAAACTTGAAATGAATCCTTTTACGCAGACTTAGATTGAGTTTTAGACTCTTAAACATAGTGATTAAGTTTTTCTATAAAGAAAACATTTTTAAAATCAAATTTCAAGTAGAATAGCTTTTTAAAAACATGTTTTTCCAGTTCAAGAATAACAGTAATCCTTGAAAGCTTCGCAGGTCCTTTAACAGCAGAAAAGCTCAAGAGCTTTCTGTAAAGTTAACAGCGAGTTGGCGCCCCTTTGAACCCCCGCCAAAACCTTTAAAAATTTCCCAAAATAAAAAAAACATTTTCCACATTGATTCTGTTTAGTTTTGCTTCATTTCTTTATTTTCCATTATGCTTTTAGTTTTCCGCTGCACTGTCATAAATGAAAACACACCTTGATAAATACTTTGACGGCTTTAACACCTAACAATAATAAAGATGATATTTATATGTTTTATAAGTTTGGTTCCCGCATGGGGAAAATCAAAAAGGAAAAGTGCAACATTAGCAACATATTATAAAATAAATATTCTTATCTCTCAGCCAATACAAAAAAAAAGGATAACTATGATTACTTCGAAAAAAAAAATAAGTTTCTTAAATCCATAAAACGGATATTCAAGTATTTCATACACATACATATATACATATATATATATATATATATATATATATATATTCCGATATACATAAACTGTATATAACTTAATGTTTTATTTTGCTTCTCTGTATTTATATTAAGTTTTTTTTTGTTTTTTGCATGTTTTTAACATAGTTTTCTGGTTTTTTGTTTTTTACTTTTTGTGTGTGTGTTTCTTCTCTTCCTTCTCAACATATTTGTTTTTACTTTTTAGTTATAGCTTTGTTTTTATGTTATTTTTAAGATTTGGAAATTGTTAAATTATAGACTTGCTTAGGACTTATGCTGCTCGAATGGAGAACTTTTGATGATAATGCTTGACAATGACGATAATGAATATCAAATGGAATTTCTCGGGATCCCACACGGATCTCCACCTTCTTCTAGTTTACAAAATTTGACTCACTTTTTGAATAGTTTTAGTTTTGTTAGCTTTTCATTTAGTTTTGGTTTTTTTTTGTTTTTTGTTTTTTTTTAGTATTTATGGTAGTTTCTGTTTCTTTTGCATAGTTTCGAAACGCAAGAAATTAAATTTCTTGCTTACAATATGAGAAGCCTAATTGGCTCCCCCATACTTATCATATATTACATATGTATAGCATATAACATGTACTATATATCTGTTCATGCATGTAAATATCCCTAGAAAAAGACTTTAAAACCACGAAAACGAATTCGGAACGAATCAGGAAACTAAACGAATGGTTCTCTCTGTTTATTCTCATAATAAAATGTAATCAGTTCTTTGAGTTCTCATTTGAAAATGTTTGTTTGTTTGTTTGTTTGTTTGCTGTTTTGCTGTTGTTCTTTGACCAAACGAAATCCCAGTCCATATATACCACATATATATACTCATATATATATATATATATAGATAATCGATAAGGTTTCCCTAGATTATTGGTTAGTTGACATATAATGCCCAGAAATTGTTTTAGTTAGCCTACTTACAACCTAATCTCCAGACACGCACGCAAAAAAAATGTTTGGGGGACTCTATTCATCTTATTTAACTTTAAGGTTTATCTTTTGACTTAATAATAAATTAGCTTAGCGCACTAGAAACTCGAATGTACAGTTGGGGACTGAGTTGCTTGCCCCTTGGGATCAGGATCATGATCAGTAACACGATCACGATCAGGATCTGTCTACGATCAATTCTATCTATGATCTCTTCCTCAAAAGGCAGCATCGCCGGCATACCAAGGATGTACCCAGGGCGCCGATGGCGGCGGCGTGGGTGGATAAATGGTGGGCGATGGCTGGCCATGCGTATGATGGGCCGCCGCTGCTGCCGCTGCCGCTGCAGCTGCCGCCGCATGATGATGTGCCGCCGCAGCCGCCGCTGCTGCATGATGATGATGATGGTGTTGATATGGTGCCGTAAATGCTGCCGCCGCCGCTGCCGCTGCACTGCCATAGTAGGATGCTGCAGCCAAGGCAGCTGCCGCTGCCGTTGTGGGCGAGGCCGCCGAAGAGGAGTGCGTCGAGGAGGCGGGCGACAAGCTGGCCAGCCCGGCGGCACACACGCTATGCCTGCGATGCATTATATGTCGCTGTGGTGGCGCCACCACCGCAGCTGCCTGTGGTTGCTGCTGCTGCTGCTGCTGCTGTTGGTGGAGCGATGGTGCTGCCGGCTGTGTTCTTCGTTGCCTTTGCTGCTCCCATTCGGGCAGGACATTGCCCAATGGCGGACTCAACATGCTGGCCGCCGCCTTGCCGTACAAATTCGATAAATAGGCATGCTCGGCCTCGGCCATCTTCTGGGCAGCTGCTGCAGCAGTTCGCGGATGTTTGGCAACCGTCTGCTCGGCATGCTGCCGCTTCTTCAGCAGACGCTGCTGCTCGTGCTGCTGCTGGTGGTGGTGCTGGGCTGCTTGGTGGTGCGGGTGTGGGTTGTGGGAGTACAACATTTCGTATGTGTTGCTGCTGCTGATATGAGCAGGTGTTGCTGATGTTGCAGGAGATCCTGTTGTTCCTGTGCCAGGTGGTGTGGCCGGAATTGGTGGAGCCGGCGGTGGTGCTAGTGCCCTCCGCCTGGTCAGCACTTCAGCACCATTCACATTCGCTGGCGGTGTAAGGGCCCGTCGTCGCAATGACGTAGTGCCTGCTGCACCCCCTGCTCCTGCTGCTGCTGCTGCTGCTGATGATGATGATATTGCTGTTGATCTTGTATGAACTGTTGTGGCTGCTGTTGTTGTGTTGCTGCTTGCTGTGGCTGTTGTGCTTAATGGTGGTGTTGTCGGTGTGGTTGGTATAGTGGTGGCTACTGCTGCTGCTGCTGTTGTTGTGGTTGTTGGTGTTGGTGGCAAATGTTGTGCTCCCCAGCTTAATTCCTAGCTTGTGCGCGTCCTTTTGGCCGGCGGCTGCTCCGGCTGGCGCGTCATGAAGGTCAGCTGCGTCATGTACTTGAGTATGTCGCGCACCTGCACTAGCGGCATATTCTCGTTGTAGTTCCGATCGTACTCCATCAGAATCTGCACCTGCCGTCTGTGAAAAGTCGAAGAGATTGGTATCAGTTAGGGGTCCCCATATACTAGTAATGCCAAGTAGGAAGTAGGGTTTTGAATTGGGATATAGAAGATATATATATATATATATATAATCAGAACTCACCGATTCGCCTTGTAGAGCTCCACGCCGAGGGCCTCGATCAATCGCTTGCAATGATCCAGTGGCACCGAAGGGAAGAAGTTCTTCTGGAATTCAATGAGGGTCATCAGCTGCTCGGAGTCGTTGAAGGCCTTCATGTTAATGCAGGGCACCAGATGCTTGTCCACGCACACCCTTTGCACCTTGTAGGGCGTCAGGTTCATGTTGTTGGTGGGTATTTCGGGTATAACGCACAGCCGTTGAGCACTATCCGCAGCACTTGCTGCCGCCGCAGCATGGGCAAGTGCCGCATGCCGTTGCAGGTGCATGGAGGCGCTGTTCGATGAGTTGCCTCCGTTGCCGTTAGATCCGTTTCCCGTGGAACCAGAGTTATTTGAACCATTGCTGCTTGCTGATGAATTCGCTGAACCGCCGGAACTTACGGAATTCGAGGAACTGCGTCCATTTTGCTGAGCGTGCTGGGCATGATGGGCTGCGGCGGCAGCCAAACGATGTTGGACAACCGCTGCCGCTGCCACTTGTTGCTGCTGTTGGGCGACCGCTGACGAGTGTTGCTGCAAATAGGCCGCCGATGCAGCGAGTGACCTTCGAGAGGAGGACAGATCGATTACGTCAGTGGGTGTGGGTTGTTGTTGTTGGGTAGTTGTTTGTTGTGTATTGCTGAGGTTAATACTAGTTTGGCTGTGTGTCTGACGCCCATAATTACTATTACTATTATTATTAATATTGTTATTAGTCCGTCGTCCCCCTGAATTTGAGCTAACCCCTCCTCCTCCTGAATTATTGCTAGCTAGCGAAAGTATGGCCATGGGCAGGTTATTGGATTTGGTCGAACAAATCACGCTCTTTTGCCGACCACTTGCCCCATTGGATGCACCACCACCCGCCCCATTTGATCCTCCGGCACCGCCACCGCCGGCACTGCTTAATGGAGACGCCGCCGTATTTGAGGCACTCGAACTGGAACATGAACTCGATGGTGAATGCAGAAAATGTCCCGGCAATTGTGGTGTTATTGTCACATTCGGATTAGAGGCCAATGTCAGTGTGGCGGCCACATTTCCCATGGCCATGCCCATGTTTAGGCCACCAACTGCCGGCGACATCGGTGGCGATATATACGAAGGCACCATGTGATTTTGATTTGCATTATTATTGCTACTGGAATTGGTTTGGATAAATGTCGAGAGATCCGGATTGGCCAGAACCTTTTGTATAACAGCCCGCATTTCGTCAGTCATCACCGTGCACTTCTTCTCAAAATCCTCGAGTGCTTGTGTGGAGTTGAGCGGTATGGTTGTGCCACTGCCAGTGGTTGGTATAACACCACCTCCAACGTCGCCTCCACCACCACCACCACCACCACCACTTCCTCCTCCTCCCGCACCTCTTCTGCTTTTGGTCAGAGTGATTTCAGCTCCGGAACCATCTGGTATCAATGGTGGCACTATGGGTTTGGTAAACGTAACACCACCAGTCTTCTGATTCTTCCTAGCCTTATTGGGATTATTATAGTCCAACATGGTTATTAAATCCGTGTCCAGGGGCAGGGAGGGTAGGGCTGGAAAGTTCTGCTTTCCCGTTGGATGACTTGATCCAGTATTGCTGGGACTACCGCCTGAGCCACCTGGACTGGCGGCACCTTTCAGCTGCTGGCTAAAGAGCAAACGTTGGGCGGGTGTTAGCTGATTCCAAAGGGCTAAATTCGTGTAATCCGCTCTTGTGGAGGGCAGGTTGTAGTTAAAGGCATTACTGCCGGCGCCAGCGCTACCAGCCACGCCCCCATTACCACCGCCGCTTCCTAGCAGAGCTTGCACATAACCAGCGGCAGCAGCAGCGGCAACAGCGGCCGGCGAATTGTTGTTATTGTTACCGCTACTGTTGTTGTTGTTGTTGCTGCTGCTGTTCCTCAAGTTGCTGCCGCCGCTGAGACTTTTGGCTAAGGCATGTTGCTGATGATGATGGTGGTGGCTGTTATTGTTTTGGTTGTTTGGTGAAGAGTGTTGCTGTGGTGCATGGCTGTTGTTGTTGTTGTTGTTGCTGTTAAATGTGCTGTTCTGGTGTCGTTGTTGCTGTTGTTGTTGTGTCTGTTGCTGTTGTGTCTGTTGTTGTTGCTGTTGTTGTTGTTGCACCAGTGACTGCTCGACATTTGACCTAGAAACATTATATACAATACATAAGTCGAGGTGGCCGCCCCTTTTTTGTTTGTTTATTTTTAGCTTGATTTTTATTTACAATTGTCTTTTTTTTTGTATATATTTTAATCTCAATTTGTTAAGGACTCAGTTTGTTATTGCATTTTTCAATCGATTTTGTTGTAATTGTCATTTTCCTCATAAACTAACTAACACTGTGACTCTTGATTTGTATTTTTTTTTTTTTTTTTTTTGATTTCTTGTCTTTTTTTGGTATGTATTTTGATTAATTTTGCTTTGCTTTGAATCTCGGTTGGCGGGCGCACGCGTTTCTCTCTCTCCCTTTCTCCCTCTGCTTGTTTTTGCTCTTCTTCCTCTTCTTCATCTTCATCTTCTTCTTCTGCATCCGCACTTGCACTGTCTTTGCCGATTAAACATATCGGAGACATCGATATCCCGATTGCCTTGGCCTTTCCGCTCGACTGCTGCCGATGAAAACAAATGAGAGAAAACCAGGAGGCGATAGTCAATTATCGTTGGTTTTTTAAATGCCCGTTATTGTTTGTAGTTTTATTTTTTATTTGTATTTGCATTGGTTTGATGAAATATTTAATGAATTTTGTTAAGGTTTACCCTCTGCTGATTTATAAAAAAAAATGTATTTCAAAAATTATGTAGTCCTCGCTTAAAAATTTCTCACAATTTCTCAATGCTCTTTCTTTTCCATCTCTTAGATTTAATTTTGAACAGAAATTAAGTTTTTTTTTTGTCTGAATCTAATTGTTGTTTTTATGTAATGTTTGTGAAATTATACATAAATCGGTTAGGGAAAGCTTTTGGAAAAGCTCTTTTGCTCGCTTTGTTTTCTATTTTTTTTTCACTCTGTTAATGCTAGCCCTAAGTTCTTCTTCTTTTCTCGTTTAAGCCAAGTTTTTAAGAATCTGAATCGATTGTCATACATCAAGATTATTACTTCAACTTTTGTACACGCATTATATATAATGTGTCTAGGATATTTCACTGTACTTTGTACTTCGCATCTTTTTGTTTTAGTTGTGTGTGTTTGTGTTTAAGAGTGTGTGTGTGTGTGTGTGTGAGGGGGGAGGGGTAGGTGGGGCCAAACGGGGTTAAAAAAACCTGCCACCACCAATAAAAGCTTGTTTTCGTTGTTGTTGTTGTTGCTGTTGCTGCTGCTTCGTGTTTTCCCCCTTTTATACATATATATAGATATATAGAGGTTTATATATATATATATATTTTAACTTTTTCGTTCGTCACAAATCGTGTGAGTCATACCACGTGTGTGTGTGTGTGTGTTGTGTTTTTATGCATGTGTGAGAGTCTGAGGTGTTCGTGTGTGTGTGTGTGTGATAACATTAGGGGTAGTCAGTACACACAGCCATTAAGTAAATGTAGATATGTTTTTGTCTGTTGTTGCATTTAGATATATATTAAATATATATTTAACCATATTATTTAAAAGTAAATCGTTTCGGGGTTTTTATCTCATTTATTATGCGAATTTATGTTTTTCAAAATATGTTGTAGTTCCTCTTTTTTTTATCATTAAAATAATCATTATATTATACAAAGAAGAAAAAAAAAAGAGTTTTTAGAGCAAAACAAGGAAAAGGTATTATCATAATAATATACAAAGTAAGGTTATAACGAAATCATCATCATTCCATTAAATAAAGAAACAAATACATGTGAGTTTTCATATATATATATATATATAATATTATGTTTATAAAGATTTGTATTCTACTTTCAGTTTTGTTTTAAACTTAATCAAGTCGGGAAGGTCATGCAATCGCTAGAGTAGGGTAGTACTTTCGGATATTGTATGCTCTGTATAAATAGGAGAACTCTACAACAATATGTATGTATGTACAGATGCGTGTGTGGGTGTGTGTGGGCGTGTTCGTGTGTATGTGTGTTTTTTTTTTTGGATTTAGTTCTACTGGACTTTTCTTTATGAAGTAGTAGTAGTAGTAGTAATAGTAGTAGTAGGCGGTAGTGGTGTTAATTGATCAGGTAGAACCGCGGTTATCCCAATGCGAGCGTTATATTTCTCCACCTTAGTCGCGCCTCCGATACCGATAGCTTATTTAGTTCACTCTATATTTCGTATTTTCGTACTTTTTGAGAGCCTCTCATGAGCCACCCTAATGCATGCCGTAAGAGGTTAGGAATCTGGAGACCCGAAAATAAAAAAGAGAGAACAAAAGCTCGTCAAGTATTTGCAAAAAGTAGTCGTTTCGAATCGGTTAGTAGGGGGATTGTTTTTGGTTTTGGTTTTGTTTTTGTCTTTTTAGAAAATGTTATGAGAGGAGTTGGGAATTTTGTGGTATGATTGGTTTGGTGTTGTTTGGAAATTATTTTGAAAAACATAAAATCAAACTCTATGTGGATGCCGACATCCCATATAAATCGATTCTAAACCTAAATTTTCAAATTCAAAATATAGAAAACGTTGTGAAATTTATATTGAAGTCGGAATGAAAAACGTAACAAACACTTCTTAAAATGCAAAAAAAAAAAAAAAAAAAATGTTATCGAATCGAGACGAAACCATTCATTTAAAGTGACTTTTTATAGTTAATTGATCGATAATATCGACCGAACTATCGACAGCTCTAGACAGATTCGAACTTTGGGGAAACTAGTTTTTATTTTTGGCTTTTCGACTACAACCACAGGGGGCATTACGTTCAAAAGAATAATTAACTTTATGTGTTGCTTGACTTTTGAAACGCAAAAACAAAGAGCAGAGAGAAATTATGCGAGGAACGAGTATTATTTTGTATATTTATTGTAAGACGAGATATATATATATTATATAACACAGAACAAAATTTCAAATAAAATGCGTGCACAAACGCCGATTTCGATATGCTTCATTATAATATTATATATATCTAACATTGAGAATTGGAAAAAACAATCGGTGCATTATTTTGTTTTGTTTTGTTTTGTTTTTTTTTTTTAGAAAAGAGCATAAAGAAAAATCAACAAAATCATTTAAAATATTTTTATATATATAAAGAACTATCGACTGTCCTGAGGTATAGAACAAAAATCAAGTGCCACCCTAATGACTTAAGCAGCGATTTCTCAATGTCTAGCCTGTAATTCCCCCGCACTACTACACCCAGCATTTTACACAATTACAACTGACTACTAAGCATTAATTCAAAGATATAGTATATATATATATTATACCGCTAATTAAGCTACGTCCTTCAACTTATCGATTTTCGGGGGCATCGAAAATGACAATAAATGCATTTAAACCCTAGACATTGAGAACTCAACCCTTAGAGCGACTTAGTAAATGTGTGTATTATTTATGTATATAATATAAACAACAGCGAAAAAATAGAGTACTTTTTTTTTTCTTTTGACATTGGCAAAAACGAATTACAACAAAATTTGAAAAACACAATTTCTGCGCATTTTTATCCGAGATTTTTTCAAATAAAATCAACGTACTAAATGTAATAAATATAAATAGTCATAAGGAAAGACAAAATCAAATGTAGAATCAATAAGTATTTTTTTTCTTCTTTTTTTAGAATTTTTTTTTTTTTTTTTTTTTTTTTTTTGAAGGACAGTAGTGGGGGGGGAATAACAGTTTGAACAATCGATAGGAGGAGGCTATGGACTGTCGTTGTGTACTTACATGTGGTTGGCATTCTGACCCGCCGCCGAACGGACCAGTGGTGGTGGTGCATTACCGCCGCCGCCGCTGTGATTGTTCACCGAGGACATGGAGATTGCGGGATTATTGTAGGAGTACGGCTGTCGGCTGCTACCGCTCATCATCAGGTTGTTCATGTGCTCTCTGTAGCTTCCCACGCGATTTGCGTTCGCATGTGTTTGCTGGTTTTGCCCATAAGAAAAAGCCAAGAAAAAACAAGAGAAATTTTTACAAAATTAGCTTAGATATTATAAACACCCTAAAACTATATTCCACTTAAGAAAGGCTTATATTATTATAGCTTAAACTTCTTTTTTTTATATGGATTATGTAATAAATTTCTAAGTTGAATAGTAAAAGTAAAGGAATTATTAGAAAACATTTAAGATTTAATCATCCAATCAAATTTATAGTTTGTATTAACTGCCCCTCAAAACTAGTTAACTCCCCAGACAAAAAATAATAAAGTAATAGACTGCTATTTTTTTTTTGATAATTAAATATAACCAATTAGCTAATCGATTCTGTGACCTACTTTTCTGTATACATGTATGTAAATGCAATTATAGCCAATTGTTGTGCATAATTAACAATTATGAATTCAGATTGCAATTGCCAATGCTAAGAAGACGGAAGCTCTATTGCCAATGCGAAAATTAGTTCAACTACTAATACAATAACAAAAATCGATTAATTGCCTCTATTAACCATTTAAAGACTTTTTTGTGCTATTTTAACGATTTTATAGGCGATCAGAATTAGGTTTTCAAGTTAGAGATTTGATAAGATTGCCATTACTCATATCGAGTATCTCTAGACGTCTAGTACTTTTTCGTTTTCTGTTTACGTTTTTCATGCTGGAGGTTAAATTTCATAGTTGGAGGTCGTAACAAAACAAATTTTGAATGAATTTTATTAAGTTACAAAAAATATTTATCACTAATAACTAACAATAGTTAAAGTAAAGTATACGAATCTTGAGTTTTGTTTATAGAGGCTCGACTGTAGTGACAACAGAGCAACAAAAAAAGCAACATCAACAGGTTGTGGCCAACACACACACACAAACACACACACACTTGTGCACAACTAAAGAGGGAAAGAGAAGGAGCTATGGGAGGAGGAAAGAGATGGGGATGGGCAAAGAGGGAGATGGAGCCACTCTCCTATGCACACTATACTGATGACCTAGTTTTTGATGCCGTCGAACGCTGCCTGCTGTTGCTGCTGCTGCTGCTGCTGCTGCGCTGTTGCCAAACTGTGAAAAAATCTGCTAGAAAAAAAAAACACGCTAACACAAACACAGATTTATATACATATACATATGTATATAGCCCAGCATGTAAGTTTGTGTGTCATTACAAGCGAGGCCAACAAAACATGGCCATGCACTCTCTAGAGAAAACCCTCAGTACACCACATATTTGTACCCCCCCTTCTTACATTCCATATCCATTTCCACTTCTTTTCGGCCCGATCTCTACCGATTCCCAAGCAATTCTTCAAGTGGGAAAAGACTTCATCAATGATACCAAAAAGAAACTTGTTTCTAAATGCGATTCTAAGCTGTGACCTAATTTTCAAAATCTACAGTGAAATCGATCAATACTTCGTGAAGTATTTCTATATTATCTTCAACAGCTAAATAAATGGATATCCATTAGAAATAACTATTATCTAGCAATACAAAACCATCCAATCAAAAGTAATGTAACTTCGGGTGGAATTTACTCAATTCAATTACTGAAAAAAAGGAGCGGTGGAAAATTTGTTGAACGAAAAATTCTTCGAATTCGGGAGCATTAAACTATAGCTTTTGTTTACTCAATGATAATTACTATAAGTAATGGAAATATTTGGATTATTCAGATTGGAGTGATTTTGTAGGTTTATGGACAACAAGAAACTATGTATTATAACTTTCTTAAGTTTATATTTGAGTACAATTTTCTACGTAGTATAATAAGTGTAACCCTAATATATCTGAGATTTGATTCATTGGTCTATATAATCCAGACTGCCATAGATAAATTTTACTTGGTATACTTTAAAATATATCCTAAATATAGCACAATCTCTAAGCTAGCTGCTTATAAGTTTAACGTTAATTACGAAAGGATACCAAACTCACCATCATTTGGGCATGCAGCTGCAGGTTGCTCTGCCCAGACATCCAGCCACTATTAGCCAAAGCCTGGACTGTGGCCTGAGAGAGCATCCTGTTGTTGCCTTGAGACTGTTGGAGCATTGAGGCCGCCGCCGCCGCTTGGGAATTGAGGGCTGCCATTGCCGCTGCCCCAAAACTGTTGGCCGCATTTGCCACCCCATTGGCACCGGCGGCTGCTGCTGCGGCGGCGCGTTGTTTCATCAGGTGTTGTTGTTGCGCTGTTGCCGCTGCCACAGCAGCCGAGGCATTGTGCTGTTGCTGCTGCTGTGATTTCGAGGTCACCTGTTGGCCGCCACCGGCCGAATTCGAGGACGAGGATGATGAGGAATTCTGGCCCAGGCCACCGCCAGTCGATGAGGAAGATCCCGACGATCCAGAGCCGGTTGTCGTTACCTTTGGTGGCGGCGCCGACGGTTGACGTGTCCAATTGACCGAGTTATTGACATTGGCACGATTGCCAATTAATAGATTCGAGTCTACCACCTTGCTGGGCCAATAATCCTCGAATTCGGTGCCACTGGGGAAATAGCTCTTGATGTCGGTTAACGATATTACGGCCACATTTTCGCTGGAGAAGAGTTCGTTTCGGATACCCTGAACCTTGCAGCAGAATTTCAGATAGGCCAGATCCCATCCATTGAGCAGTTCCGCCTTGGTCTTAAGATTCTCAGTTTCGCCTTCGAAGTAGAAGAGCGGCACAACCTGCTGGTTATTTCGAACTGTGTACGGCACCACGGACTCCTTGTTGATGCGAATGAAACCGCATTTCTCCGATGGCGTTTTGCTACCCGACACCAGTTTCCTGTAGCAAATGTCCAAGAACTGATAGAACTTGGAGGCGTCACTGAGCCGTACAACCAGATCCTTTTGATTAAAGATATCACGTCCGAATTCCCCGTCGCAATGCTTGTGATTGATCTCGATGAAGAGTCGTGCCTCGGCATCGGTAATGTAGTAGCTGCGCACGCAGGTGCAGCTGGAGTAGATGTCCGGATGCAGACAGTTGAGGTATTTGCCCAGCAGTTTCAGTTCAATCATCCGAACGGAGCAGTACTTTTCCGACTGCCTGAAGATGTACGGGATGGACACCTTGCCGAATTGCGCCCAGCCGAAGTGGCCATTGATCGACTCCTCGTCGCAGGGTCCGGATGACTTCTTATCCGAACCGGACTCACTTATGGCTCCATTCGATCGGCCATTCGCTGCCAAGGCGGGCACCACTTGCATGGTGCCATTGGGTAGTTTCTGATGACGGGATAGGTAGCTCATGATATTGGTCTGACCATTCCCATTTGTGATCGGCGGTTGCATATTGCCACCGGCTGTAGCTGCGGTATTGCCATTTGAATGCTGCATGGCCGCTTGACGGGATGCCTGTTGGGCGGCTTGTTGCTTCTGTTGCTCCTTCATTTTGGCCGCCAATTCGCGGATCTCGGCGTCATCGGGACGCTCCTGTTTGACGGGCGGACCCAAGGGACCGCCCAGACCGGTGCCGTGGAGCGGTAAACTCTGGCCATTGGCATCGATGACGCTCGTGATCTGCACATCCGCGCTGGCCATCGCTCCACACTCTCTAGCTCTTTCGCTCTTGAATGCTGTGTTGTTTTCTCGCACTTCGTATCCGCTTTGATTATCCTTTGATTATTTTCCAGTTATAGTTTTTACAATAGGCACGAATTCATTTCAGGAGCTGTATTAAAAATGATATTTGTTACGATCATTTGAATGATATTTGTAAAACTTCAAATTAATATGTCAACAATGCTGTTGATATAGTGATATTGATATTGGAAGAAATTTAGATGGGTTGGTGTGGAACCCGGGTTTTGTAATTCTTTATCAACATTATTCACATAATAAAATGAAATTTTGTTCAGCGTATTATTTGTTTGCTTGTTCTATTGATTTTCCAATGTATTGTTTTTATTTTATTTAAAGGAACAATAAAAAAAAAATTAGGAACCGGCTTGTTAGCTCTTTTTCGCTTTACACAAACGGTCACACTGGCCGGCACACACATACACACACGTGCTTTTTTAACCTTTTTTTTATTTGCCAGTGTGTGTGTGTGAAAATGCGCGCACTATAATTTATTGCTGTTTTTGGGGCACAATCACATTTGTTGTTGTTTCTGTTTCGTATACATTATGTGCACATGTATATAATACACTTACACAAACAAACGCTGCCTGCATCTTTATGCAGTGTGGCAAAAAAAACAAAATTATTTTATGCATTTGTTGTCATATTTAGTTGCTGGTTTTCTCTCTTTGTTTTATTTTTTACGGTTATATATATTCCTTTTTGTTGTTGTCGCGACGACGCTTGTTGGACAGAAAAAAAAAAACGATTTGTTGCTGGGTCTCTCGATTAATTTTGTTGTTTATGATATTCGCACTTTTCCCTATTTCGCTTTAGCGCTTTTTCCGCTTTCGACGCCGACGTACGTCCGCCCGTCTTCGCAATACAAACGAATGTGATCGTTGTTACGAAAATTATTTCAACGAAGTCAACTGAAAAATGTGTGCGGCGGCACACTCGCAGGCAGGCACACAGACGGGCACACGGACGTACACACACACTGCCGTAGCGCATGGGCAGCGACGTCGACTGCGGCAGCGGATGCAGAGCGCAAAAGAAAAACGGAAAACACGAAATAAGACGAACGGAAAACACAACAAAAAAATACACACTGGCAGCGCAGCCGACGTCGCTGCAACGCTGCCACGAACAGTTTGCCGAATTGTTGTTGTTTTTGGCTGTTCCCTTTTTGCCCCCCGCCTTGTGCATTTTCTTCCTCTGCCCGCTCGCACTCTCTGTCTTTGTCCTCTTCTTCTACGTCCTCCTTCTCTCTCTCTTTCCTCTCATCGACTAGCTCTAAGCTGCGACGCCAACGCCGACGCCGCTGCCTCGTTACAACTTACTGTGGTTCAAGATTATGCAACTCGGCAAATTTATATGTATGTATGTATCTAATGTTATCTATTCTGTAAACCTTTATGAATGTGAGGGTTCCTGCAAGGTTACCGATTTTTTCAAGAAAGAATTTCGGAATAATAAATGTTTTCTTAAAACCTTCAATCTCTGCTTGCATTCAAAATTACTGTTTGATTTTAACACCATTGGTTACTATCTAAACAATCCCCATTTTAGAGCTTAATCATATACAATATTTAGATATACTATTATTAGCTATGTTAATGCTTTAGCGGTTATATACCTTTGCCAAATATTACAAAAGAATGCTTAAGACCCATATATCAAAACTTTCCCTTTACTTTGGTAAATTTCCCATGGGACTTTAACCACGGTGCAAGGAAAGCTTAAGCTATGCTATGCTATGCTATATACAAGACCCACACACACAGATACAGGTTCACACAGCGCTGGCTGGGTCACAGTATTGGTATTGGTTTTGGTATTGGTGGTGTGATGATGATGTTGTTGCTTTTGCGTGGGTGTGGGTGTGTGGGTGGGGGTTCAGTGGGTGGGTGCTCTTTGTGGGTGGAGGCGTGGCGGGGGCGTCTCTATTTTTGGCAGGCAGCAAAAGCAAAGGCCCCTGCTTAGCATTCGATGGCCACCTCTCCCTTTTCCGCTCGCTATCACTCTCCCCGTCCCTTTCGCACCATCGAATGCAAGAAGTTTTCGGTATTCGCGCGCTCTGCGGCTTTCAAGACAGGCCCCGTTCCAGAAGGCAGAGAAAACCAGGAGCGAACGAACACGAAACACGAACACACGAACGGGCGCAGCTCCGAAAGGTCGCCCCCGACTCTAAACATTTACCAAAAAATTTAATTAGCCGGGTCCAAGTCGAATTCCATTGTGCCGCCATCATACGAGGCTAAAAACTTAACTGGCAGTTAAAAACGGGTCCCTAGTACAGTCAGATCAAAACAGGTGTTTTGTAATATTGGTCAAAGGTTAATCTATATATAATATATAAAATGAACCACAATGTACAGTCTCTTCAAAACACTTATTATGTTACAAAAAGTACAGTCATGACAAAGCACAGCACAAAATCCTCAATGTTGAACTAAAGCCTTAGTTTTACCATACTCTAGATACTCTATAAATATACTAAGAAAAAAAATTAACTTATTAACCTTCGCTTATTCTATTAAAGTTTTTAATAAAAAACTACCTAAGTTGTACTATAACAGCAGAGCTTCATCAAGGGTATACAAAAGTCGAGCCACACCCGTTAACCTATTAATTGCTGGGAATACAGGTAATGGGCTTCTTTCAGCTTTGGTTTCAGGTGTCTCCCGAGCTTTGTAGTATGTACGACCAACTCCCCAGTGCGTGTCTGTCTTACCTTCTTTCGTTCTCCAAACTAAGCTCCCTATTTTGTAGCATCTCTCTTTATTTTGAGTGTGGGCTTTGATTTTGGGTGTTTTGCTTTGCTAATTAGTCAGTCAGCTGTGCGTGAGTGTGTGTGTGTGTGTGTGGGTCTTTTCCGTATTTTGGGTGGAAGTTATTTTTGTCGATTTTGTTTGGTTTTTTCCCTACGGCTTATGTAAACCCCCTTCTAATAATAGGGCTTATATGGTATATGTATGTAAGTACATACATAAATCTATATGTATGCATAAGACTATGTGCAACGGTTTGAGTGTGCGAAATGTGCATTTGTAGTGGTCGGCATACGCATTCGACGTCGTCAGTCGTCATCGATGCGAACGAAGTGTGTGTGAGAGAGAAAGAACGAAAGGGGGAAGAGGGTTGGAGACAGCGTGAGAAGCGAGCGTTACGAAAGGCCCCGTTTCGTGCGCGCTTTGCTATGTAAACACGACTAAACATGTGCCTGCATGTGTGCGTTGGTCCGTATGTATGAAAGCATACATACATATGTACATGTGTATGGATGTATGTAGACCGTTCGCTTAACCATCAATGGGAAATGGAGAATGGTTTGGGGGCGGTGGGTGGAAGGGCAGCCCTGCCAATTGCTTTGATTTCGGCAAGCTTCACGATTGCGCAGGGCAAGGGATGGCGATATTTCGTGTAGAAGAACTAGAAGCAGGGCAAATGGCTAAACGAGGATTATGGAAGCAGGGTTTCCAGGGTTTCACAGAAAATATGCAAAAGGAAAAATAAGATCATCTTGTTAAGTAAAAGCTAAGTTTTATTTTGAGATCCGGATCGGCATTTACTGATCCTTTTATTTGTATAATTTTATATCCACTGTTTCTTTTGTTTTTTGCAGGTGAAATGAATGAGAGTATTATGTTCATAACTAAGACAAAAATCTACATTTTTCTCTAAAATATTCAGAAAGTGAAATTTTAGCAATCTTTTGCCATTTTTGATGATGTTAGTTTACTTAGTTTTGGTCGTTATTTTCTCAAACCATTCATTCTTTTATCTGTGCTACAAGTTTTGACAATGTTATGGACAAAAAACCTAAAAAGTTATTTAATTTTCTGTCAGACATTAAAATCTTGATTGTTGCTTTAAAATATTCCGATTTCTTCCCATAACAGAATCTATAATGTTCCGAGTGTAGAATGTGAAAAGCAATGAAAGATTTATATAAAGAAAAGAAATAAATTTATTTAAGTGCAGTTATGCCGTTAGACCTTTGAAGAAAATGCAGTTTCTTTTTATACTACTTCTTAAACACGAATTTTAAGTTATGCAGATTTTCTTTACATCTCTTCGGCTGTATTAGGAACCCCCCCTTGACAGGGGTCTCTGGCCAATCAATGGAGACCGGACATCCGTTCGACCTCGGCTTCCCTTGCCCCGCCCCATACTGAGCCACCCGCAGCTCTTTTCACCGCAACCAAAACCATTCACCTCACTTCTCGTTTCGTCTCGTCTCTTTTCTGCTTTTCTCTTCTCATTTCACTCTGCGTTGCACTTTGCTTTCTGCTTTGGGCTAATGCGCCCGCAGCACCTGAGTGTGTCGGTGTTCGTGTGCCGGTGTTAATGTCGGCTTGCCACCCTTCCCTCACATCCCACCCACTCCTTTAAACTCCCACCGCCCCATTACCACCTTTAACCCACTGTGTGTCAATTACCACACGTTATAAGTATGTGCTTTTTAAATGGAAAGTAAACATTTGTCCCAGAACATTTGACAGCATTAGTTATATTTTGTAAGATATTCTATCTTATAAATATATATCAATGCGATTACGAAATCGTTGTTTATTAGTATTTATGTATCTATAGAAATGCTTTTTCATTTTGTAATAAAATTAAGGGTGGATGGACTTAGCAAACGTTGGAAGGCATTAATGAACCACAATCCCAATAGGGTGATATGTATGCTATTAAAGCCTAGGACTTAGCCACGGAGTCAGACCACTAGAGAGTAAGGGAAGTGCAGGGTGTGTTTATAAAAGGAATTACAGGTGTTTCTTTGGTTGTACCAAAATAAACCAAAAAAAAGGATGTGGAAATTAAGAATCACTATAAATGGTTAAAAAATAGCTAGAAATATGAAGCACTTAAATCGAAATTACTAAGAACTAGCGATAAGAAAGAATTCCCTTTAAAACAAGTGAAACTTTGTTGGAATTTGGTTTTTATATACTTTCAAATGTTTATCGCAAAAGTGGCTTGAGTAAATAGTGGGTTAAGCGTTGCTTTAATACAACTTTTCACTAGCAAGTTTTTTGCAATTGTTTTTTGTTCGTTGCTTTTTTGCCTGTGGTTGGGGAGGGGGTTTCCTTCTGTTCCTGCTTTCATTATCAGTATCCGCATCTTTTGCTTATCATTTTCTGGCTCTTTCGCCTCGATTGTTGTTGTTGCTGCTGCTGCTGCATTTGCAGTTGCAATCTATGCAAATGCAAAAAAAAAAGAGGCAAAAGTAAGAAGAAAAGTGCTTACCAAGTTTTGCACACAAAATCGCTTACATATGTATATGGCGTATATATGTATGTATATACATAGTCAGAAATACCAACACCGTTGCACAGTTTAGTTGGCTGCCTTTTATGCACTTTCATTCGACTGCTGCAGCTGCTCTAGCTCTCTCTTTTCCCCTCTCGTTCCATCTCACTCCCACTCACGTTGTTTTTCAGCCCTTGGGAACTTCACAAACTCCACTTCCTCTCCACTTTTCTTTTTCCCTGCATTTCCATTTGCACATGTGTGTGTGTGTGTTGCTATTTCTTTATTTTAAGTTTTCATCGCATCTGTCATTCAGCACAAAAAGTGCCTTGAAGAACGCGTCATATATTATTTGCACCTCTCGCATATATTATCTTCTTCTCCTCTTCTGTTATCCTCCCCTACAATCCTCGCTCCCCTCTGTCCAGTGTCCTTCGGTGACAGTTGGCAACACTGGACCCAGGACCACCTGGTCCCCGATAAATGTAATTGATATTGCTGTTCTGCTCTTCACCAATATCATCATAGGTTTCCCTTCTATTTTCGATTTCTCTACACACATCGGCAAGAGGTCAATTAGGGTTTTCCGATCAGTAATACCCCATATTTATCACACACCACAGCTGTTTGGGTAATCCCTCTACCCGAAACCGATTTCTATCAGGTAGTATTTAAAATAAGGATTTTTTAAAAATATTTTGCTTTAATTTAACATTATTGATCAATACTGAACAGATTTTAAATTTCCATACCACAAAAATCAATAAAGTTAATGCGAAAAAATGTTGGTAACCCTTTCTTATCCCAGAGATCACAATGGAATGTTCGTATTTCTCAGTTATGAGTATTGAAAACCTAAAAACCCAGCAACTAATGTAAAAAAAAAAAACAAAAATAAAAAAAACCTCCTCCTCTGTGTGCTAAAGTCATTACTAATGGCCTATGAAGCTTGTAGCTGTGTAAAAACCCATTATTGGGGAAATTTTTACATGTTATCATGGCCTATCCTTATCAATTCAAAGTTTACATATTCAATTACATCTATTTTTCATAGGCTATATTGTTTTATATTTTTAAATATATTACAAAACCATAATGAGATAAGATATTATACCGTAATTTTAATGATTCTTTTACGTGACGTAGGGCGTTTTAAAGTTCGGATAAGCCGACGCCGCGAACTTGCGACCCAACAAGAACAACACTAGTACAGCCAACACTCATCGATAAAAAGACGCGAAAAAAATGAAAGAAAAGTGCAAGGATGAGGGCGGAAGGGTGGTGGCAATGCGGAGAGGGGGTGGCCAGTTCATCTGTGGGAGTGAAGGTATATATGGATGTACATACAATGTATGTATGTGTGTGTGTGTATGCGCCACGAACAGTTAGACTTTGGCAGGCAACGTCATCAAACTCTGTGCGCTCAGCTGCTGCTTTTTGCTTTTGCCACCTCTTCTTCTTCGTCTTCTTTGCCGTCATCTGCTTCTTCTTCCAAATTACTTGCGCTTGTGTGTGTGTGTGGTTTTTTTTTCATTTCTGTGCTCTCTCCCTTTCGTTCGGCATTCGTGTTGTTGTTCGTCGCTCGTCGGTTGCGCATATTTAAACGTGTTGCATAGTCTCTTGCCGGGTACTCGTCCACGCAGCGCAGCGCAGGCAAGTCCGTCCGTCTTTTTGTCTCTCTGTCTCTTTCGTCTCTCCGTCGCTGCGTCACTCATTCAAGCACGCTGCTAGACACATACATATACACAAACGCACACACACTGCCACACTTTGCTTCACACAAATTCAATTGGCCTCAATAATGAATTAACAAAAAAAAAAAAAAAAAATAAAAAAAAAACAGCAACAGAGTAGCGTGCGAAAAGCAGCGAGTGAGTGAGACGGAGCGAAGGAGAAAAAGAGAGGGATATAGTCAGATAAGCAAGTCGTGTAAAGTTGCGTTATAATGCTTTTTTTAAAATAAGCATTTTATATTTGATGAATTTCTTAATTAGGAGAAAATTACAAATGAAATAGGATTACACCATAAAAATAGAATTGCAATCATTAATGATCCGTCCGATTTGTAAGGGATATTTTAATAAATTTAATGGATTTTCTATTACAACTAACACAAATATTAAAAGTTTTGGGTTTTCTAAGTATTTATACATATGTATGTATGTAGGTTTCAAATATAAAAATTATCATATGTATATTACTAGGCTTAAGATAAAAGTAGGTGAAAATACGAATTACAGAAATATGTAGTTAAAGGTTTTCTTTATTTTAAAGCTTAAAATATTATCCAAAAATGCTAAATATAAGATACTTTGAAAGTATAATATAAAATATATAATGTAATTTAACCCTAGTAAATCTGACTTCGAAATAGAAATTTAATAACCCTGAAAAAAGATTTTAAGCTATAGGGAAGTAGATTAAATCATACAAAAATGATTCACACCGATGACTTATTGTATGCGTCAGATGTGTATGTACTATGTACTTTGGTTAACCCTTTCCCATAAATGTTGATGTTGAAATTTTGGAAGAACCCCAGATCGCAGATCTCTCTAAAGAATCTTATCGGTAGTGGCGATCGTTTTTATCTATCGCGATCTTGGCAATATTTAGTCGTTTCTACTTTGCTTTTTCCGTTTGCTGTTGTTTTTTGTATTTGTTTTTGAGGGCAGCCCGTAGAGACCTTAATGGGTTAACGGTTAGATATTTGTGAGTGTATGTGTGTGTGTGTGCGTTGGCATTATTTTTTTGATATGTCCATCTCGCTCGCACGCGTGCTCTTCTGTTGAAAAACTTGTTGTGGCTGCAAACGAAACGAAATGAAACGAAACAAAACGACGCGATGCGAAGCGGGGCCTTTCCGTTCGCGACCGCTCGAGAGTGTTCTCCCCTCTCCCTCTCTCACACTCTTTCTCTCTTCGTAAACTCTGGAGATTAAAGAGCACAGTGTGTGTGTATGTGAGTAAGCGAGCGCGTTGCGCAAGGCCAGCCCGTTTAGCGGTACGGGTGCGAGCGGGATAGCAGCTGGCCCAGTATTATATTTTGTGTTTTTTTTTCATTTGCCCGACCCCCCGAAAGATGCCCCCTCCCCCCAACCGCCACGCCTCTCCGCCTTTGCCCAGCAGACATATTAAATGTACATATTTAAAGGTTAAAATACATATATTTATCCATAGATACGCTTATGTATTGAAGTCTATGATATTTAAGTATAGAATATACTGCACATCTGTTTATTCGAATTATTACAAATGCTATTACATCGCCTTGGGTTACGCAAAACCACTTGTTAATTATTAGACATTGAAACAATTGTTGATCTTTCCCTGTTTACAATATTAAAATTATTAACTTGTTATATGACTAAATATTATGTATCTAATGTAACTGATATTCATTTAAAGTTTCTAGGCTTTCATGAATAATGCAATCATTATCACATTTTTGTAATTCTAGGAATTATAGACAGTAGGATTCCCGGGAAATGGGAATTTCCCCACTGAGTGTATGTGCATACAATGTACATACATACACACATCAAACATCCGGGAAATACAACCATTTTTCGGTTGATTGATAACCATATTCGGGAAAAGTTCGGCTCGTCCCTCTGCCTATCTGTTTTTCGCCTGCGACCTCTTCCGTTCTCCTGCTTACCATGTTCTTGGTGTAAATTTAACTCGTTTTTTGCTTTGCTTCATTGCCGCCGCTTTTCGTTTGCTTTTGTGTTCTTATTTGCTTGCGATTTCATTTTCTTTGCGTGCTGTTCGGCTTCTGCTCTTCTTCTCTACCATCCACCTCCTCCTCTGCGCGTTCATCCCCATTTCCCATTGCCATCTTCTATTTGTTTGTTTTTGCATTTGTGTTGGTTTGATTTTTGTTTCTTTTTTTTTTTTTTTTCTTTTCGCCTAACCAACAACCACAAACAAGCCAACAAGAACAACAACCCGTTATGACTATGACTTTCAGGTGTGCTTCGGTCTCCCTTCCCCACATTTGACTGCTCGCCGTCTCTTCTGCCTATCGCTTTCTCTGCCCCTCCCCCTCCCACACTCCTTTTCTCTGCTCACCGTCCTCGCCTCTTTTGGCTTGCTCTTCGTTTGTCGGCAGCAGCGACGTCGACGTTTTTGTCATCTGCGCCTTGCGTTTCGTTCGCTGTTTGTTTTGTTATTGTTGTTGCGGCATTTGTTTTTGCTTTATTATTGTTATCAATATTATAGCATTTGTGAAGTGAATGCAATGCCCTTTCTGTATCTCGTTTGGCATATTGGTTTTCGAGATCTTCTGGATTGCCTACTTAACAGCTTCCGCGGACTTTACTCCAAAATTATATAATTCCATACTATATTCCACAATAAGTAATAATTGAACTGCGCATTTTTGTAAATATATTATTAATGCAAATCGTCCGTTAAGTACATACATATGTACATATACTATCCCTTAGGTGGCCTTGGCATGTAGAGCACTTAAAGTCTCTGTCTAGTCGGTAGCAAAATCCCCCTTCTTTGAAGCCAAGACTAAAAGTCTAAGAGGCCCCGAGATCCGAGAGCCGAGCTGTCTGTCGTTGGTTTTTTTGTCGTCATCGTTGGCACTGCAATGTTTAGATTTTTGCAGCGCAAAATATTCGAATTTCAAGCATCAAATTGAGTTTTTGTTGTCTTTGTGGTTGTATCGAATGTTTTTGTTTTGCAAATTTTCCCATCCAGAGACAATAATAACAAAAAGAAAAAACACAAACACTTCCGCATACTACGAAAACACCGTTATAAACACGACTTGTGTATATATGTATGTACATGTTGTACCTATGTACGTACATATGTACATATGTGTGAGAGAGCTGATAACACAACCACATTCACAAACTGACAGGTGTCAATTGATAACGGAAGATAGTTTCAGAGATGTTGGGACTCGATCTGGAGGGGAATTACCATGGCAAATACAACACACATAAAATTATCTTGAGATTATACCGTTGGTAATGCTTACTTCAAAAAATCACATTAAAGTATGTACATACATATATAGAATATTCAAAGGATTTGCCATATTAAAAAAAAAACTCAAAAATAAAGTTAACTGAATCGAAGTACAAAATCAGAGTATAGGACTTAAAATGAGTAGAGTGATTAATCGAATCTCCGGGGATTTCCTACGTTTCTTGGAAGAGTTGCACACAAACCAAAGTGGAAATCTCTGGAGATTTTGGTGACACCCCGTTATGTGTACAAACATACATATGTACGTGCATACATACATACATAGTTATAAATAAACCTCTTTTGGTTGTGTGCGTGTGGGTGGAAGATTAGCGAAATCGGCAGAGGTAAATTCCACAGTTTAGCTGCTGGCAGCGACGTCGACGCAGCTTTTTTTCTCCATCACTTTTTACATTCCAATTTGGTTTCGTTTTTGCTTTATTTTCTGTTTTGTTTGCTTTGCTGCTGGTCTTTTTTTTTGTGCTTTTTCCTCCCTTCTTTTATTCCTCTGTTTATTCTCTTTCCTTCTTTTTTTTGCCAATTCACGTTAGTAAATTAGAGGGAGAAAAGGAAGGCGACAAAAAAGGTGGCCATATTAGAATGGGTAGAGGAAAAACGACAAATAAAGAACTTAGCGAAATAGAAGAAAAAGTGGAATAAAGTACAGTAATCAGTGGTTTCGCTCGATCAGAGTTGCCACCCTTGACGTGGCATCTCTATTTTCGACTCTTGTATTCGCAATAAATATTGTTGGATTTTGTTCCACTGCGTTTTGCTTAAATTCCACGCATATACGTACATACACTTACTTATATTGTACATTTTTGTGCTTTGTTGTCAAGCCCCATAAGTATATTTATGTATGTACATACATACATATATGTATATGTACATAGGTACACATTTTTACTATATAAACGCATACAAACATCTATTCATTGGTGTTGGCTGGTGTGATTCATGAGCTATGGAATTTACATGCCCACATTTCCAGATAATACAAAGCTAACACTAGCCGTCATCGAGTTGCTCATTATTCGCTTTAGATTTTCCACTTAAAACATAGTTTCTTTTTTTTGATAAAAATGTTTATGAAAAATGTTTTATGATTCGCAGATTCGCATTTAATAAACTAATTAAAATAAAATGTTATCTACTTAGGGAACACAATCAAAGTAGAGAATCAAATGGCGCTTAAGTGGTAATCCCAACCCTAACAATATAATTGCGATCTTACTAATGCACACAGCGAGAATTTTCCTATTCTCCACCCCTCCAGTTCTCAATCATTTAGCATCCTTGACATATGCGGCTACCTGGCTAAACGGGTGATCTATTGAGTCCGCAAAACCAAAGCTTGTCAAAATCCTTTGCTACCTCAAACAGATCCTTTAAAGTTCCCAGGTAGCAGCTATAATATTTTCCCAGAAATTCATTACATATGAAATTCCTGGAAAAGTATGCATTTATGTATGTATGTATATGTGTACATAATATACATACATAGGAATGTTTAAAGATACACTATAAACCTTTTGGTTTGTAAGAAATATCAATTAATTTCCAAAGTATTCAAAATATTTAGCTATGAAACTTGGGCTCTTTTTAGCATTCTCGTTTTCGTCCGCACTTTCCACCTATCTCCTCCACCTTTCCAGCCTTTGC